GGTTGGGGGCTGGGGACTGTGGCTGGGCTGGGCTGTGGCTGTTTGTCTGGGATCCAGGCCCTCCAGGCCCTTTGCCTCCTGCTGCCCAGTGGGCAATGGTGCTGACCCCAGTTGTCATCCAACTGCCAGTGGCGTGAGGAAGGCAAGGCCTTCCTCCAGGCAGGCTGAGGCCAGAGCTGAGGTTAGCATCCCTGGGCCTGGACCTAGTCTGACGGTCTTGGACATTGAGGGTGATGGGTGAGACTCGGGGGTGTTTTTCGGGAAGGAGTACACTCCTTGGAGAAGCAATTCAACTCTAGACCAGGCAGTGGCAATGGGGAGCCCCTGGAGGCCTTCCTCACCAGGCACTAGAGTTGTGTGTAAAAAGATCCCTCTGGCTGCAGCTCAGAGCAGGAGCGGGAGCAGGAGGGACTGGAGGCTGAGAGCAAGGTCAAGGACGCTGGGCCGGGCAGGTCTGGGACAGAGCCGCTGGGCGGGTGGGGCCTCTGGGGCCGGGCAGGTCTGGGGTAGAGCCGCTGGGTGGGTGGGGTTCTGGGCACCGCTGCTGAAGATGGATGCAGACCACATCCTGACACCTCACATCTGCTACTGGGTGTCCCCCCTTCCCTGCGCCAGGCCCCGTGGAACCCCAGACACCTGGGAAGTAAGAACAGGCTTCTGCCCATCATAGAGTGGATGATCCCTGAGTACCTACTGTGTGCCGGGTGCCAGGCTGGTGTGGGACGAGGAGGAAGCTCCAGACTGACAATCATCTCGGTAAAAGGTGCCCATGAGGACACTGGAGGCACTCAGAGAAGGAAGATGGAGAGGCTGGGACGGGACAGGAAAGGAGGGAGGCTGCAATTTTGAAAGAAAAGTCAGGAAAAGGTTGCACTGAAAGGTCCCATGCAAGAAGAGAGCTGAAAGAATGAGGGAGCAGGCTGGGCACAGTGGCTCATGCCTGAAATCCCAGCACTCTGGGAGGCCAAGGTGGGTGGATCACAAGGTCAAGAGATTGAGACCATCCTGGCCAACATGGTAAAACCCTGTCTCTACTAAAAATGCAAAAATTAGCTGGACATGGTGGTGGCGCCTGTAGTCCCAGCTACTAGGGAGGCTGAGGCAGGAGAATTGCTTGAACCCGGGGGGTGAAGATTGCAGTGAGCTGAGATCGAGCCACTGCACTCCAGCCTGGTGACAGAGTGAGACTCTGTCTCAAAAAAAAAAAACAAAAAACAAAAAAACCCTTGCTCCTCTAACCCCATCTTGGTGTCTCTGTCTCAGAGGGCTCTGAGCAGAGGACCATGATCTGTTGATGGCTTAGCAGGTCACTGGCTGCTGCCAGGTAGAAAATGAACAGGGGTGGGGTGGGGTAGGGGGTCATGGGGAGGGGAGAGGATAAAACTAGACCAGCTGCTTAGAGACCAACTGCAGTACGCCAGGCAAGAAATGGGACTGGCTCCCACCACTGTTAGCGCTGGGGCAGTGAGAAGGGTTGGGCTCTGGATACCTTTTGAAGCAAGATTTGCTGATGGATCAGATATGGGTAGTGATTGAAAGACAGACAGAGAGAACAACTTCAACATTTCAAGCGAGCAACGGGAAGGATGGAGCAGTGATGAGGAGACGGGGGAAGAGGCTCTCGGAAGGGTAAAGAATTGGAATTGGAGACCAGACACAGTAGCTCATGCCTGTAATCCCAGCACTTTGGGAAGCTGAGGTAGGTGCATCATTTGAGATCAGGAATTCGAGACCAGCCTGGCCAACATGTCGAAAGCCCACCTCTACAAAAATTAGCCGGGTGTGGCAGTGCGTGCCTATAATCCCAGCTACTCAGGAGGCTGAGGCAAGAGAATCACTTGAACCTGGGAGGCGGAGGTTGCAGTGAGCCAAGATCTCGCTACTGCACTCCAGGCTAGGCTACAAGAGCAAGACTCTGTCTTAAAAAAAAAGAAAATAAAAATTGGAGTTTGGTTTGAGAGAGACGCCATTTAGACATTCAAGTGGGGTTGACTCGTGTTCAGTGATGTCTAGGCTGGAAATATAAAGCTGGGAGTTGTGAGGATGTAGACGGTCTTCGGAACCTTGTGGCTAAATGAAGTCACCCAGTGGAGGGAGTGAAGATGGGAGAAGAGGGGTCTAAGGATGGGTTCCAACATTTACTCCAATCATTGCAGGTCAGGTTTCCACTGGTTCTGGAGAAGGAACCAGTGAAAGGGACTGGGGAGGCATGGCAGTGAGGGAGAGGAAGATCCGGAGAGAGTGGAATGTTCTGGAAGCAAGTGAAGAAAGTGTTTTGAGGAGGAGGGAGAGCTCAAGGGTGTCAGATGCTGCGGATTCATCAAGGGAGGTGAGGAATGAGAACTGCACATAGGTTTAACGACGTGGAGTCAATGACGACTGAGAAGGAAGTTTCTGGCGAAGAGAAGGGCTGTAAGTGAACAGAGAGGAACAGAAAGGAGAGGGAGAGGGGCTGAAGGTGAGGGGGACCTGACAACAGTGGAGCCACTCCTCTGCCTCCGGGTTCAGGCGATTCTCCCGCCTCAGCCTCCCAAGTAGCTGGAGCTACAGGCATGCGCCACCACACCTGGCTAATTTTTTATATTTTTAGTAGAGATGGGGTTTCACCATATTGGCCAGGTTGGTCTCGAACCCCTGACCTCATGATCCACCTGCCTCGGTCTCCCAAAGTGCTAGGATTACAGGCTTGAGCCACCAGGAACTCTGTTCTAAAGTGCTGTGGAGAAAGGGCAGGGAGCTGGAGGGAGAGATGGGCTCAAGGAATTTCAGGCAGAAGAAGTCACAGCATGTTTATAAGCTGTAAACCAGGATTGTCCTGTTAACCCTATTTTGTAGATCATGGAACTAAGACTCAGGAAGTTTAAGTAGGAGAACTGGTAAGCAAAAGAACAAGGCTTGGATGGGGGTTTGGGTGGGTCTCTCTGACCCACCCCAAATTCATGCTTTTAATCAAGTTTGCTCTTTTATTTTTAAATTTATTTAATTTACTTGTTTATTTTGAGACAGAGTCTCCCTCTGTCACCCAGGCTGGAGTGCAGTGGCATGATCTCAGCTCACTGCAACTTCTGCCTCCTGGGTTCAAGTGATTCTCCTACCTCAGCCTCCCAAGTAGCTGAGACTACAGGCATGAACCAACACACCCAGCTAATTTTTGTATTTTTAGTAGAGAAGGGGTTTCGTCATGTTGGCCAAGCTGGTCTCAAACTCCTGACCTCAGGTGAATCGCCCACCTTGGCCTCCCAAAGAATAGGTCAAATTTTTAAAAAATAAATTGAAGTAGTAGCAATAGATAATTAGAAAATAAAGTGAAAATGGGGACAACACCTATACCCCAAAGCCTTATTAAGAGGGTTGATCAAATATAACAGGTGTAAATTCCTGCCACGATGCCTGGCACATAGTAGGTACACAACAAATGGCAATTGATATCATCATCATCATTGTGAATGCCATTCTCCTCTGCCCAGGTCCAATCCCAGTGGGTAGAGCCTTGTGTCAAGGACTCAGCAAAGTCCTATGACCTCTCCTCTCCAAGCTGCCTTGCAACCCTGCAAGCAGGTAACTCTCTTCAGAGAAGTCAGTCTGAGTCCCAGCAGCTTCTAAACCCAGGCAAAAAGGGAGCTCTACTTTTCAAAAGAGCTCTTCTATTAAAAATAATCTCACAGAAGGATATTTATTCACGTGGAAGGATGTTCATGAAAACATTGCTGTATTATTCCGATTAAAAAAGAAGGATGGGTGAGTGGTATGGGTTTCTTTGTATATATTTATAGAAAAAAATACTGGAAAATATATTAGTCAATGTTACTAGCATTTATCCTGGAAGAAGATGGGATTAGGATGCTGGTTATTTTCTTCATATATATATATTTCACATATGTGTATGCTGGGGGAGAGGGAAAGTGAGAGTGAGAGGGAGAGAGAGAGAAAATATTTTCATCTAACAGTTGACACCAGAATCCCTGGTAGGGAAAATACCACCACGAGATGCTGGGAGACCGGAGAGAATATGAGGAAGGCTCTGGCCACGTGCAAAGCTGTGGCTGATGGAAATTCCCCAGGGCGGAGAGGCTGAGAACCCTCTGAGAAATGCCGTATTCCACTTGGAACTAACTGTTGGCACTGCCCCACAGGGACATTTCCTTGGCCTCGATGCCACCCGCCCCATCCTCAGCAGACAAGGCGTCCTCCGTGTGGAGTTTGGTGGCGTAGAGTGAGTTGATGTGGAGACAGAAACGGCAGCACGTGCGAGAACCCGAGTGCCCAGCAGCCGAGGAGCGTGCACCTGCAGAAACCTCAGGGCCCCAGAAGGGCTCTGTGCCTCCCGGGCGCGAAGTGGGGAGCCCACCTGGCGGTGCCAGATCTCACGGGATGGGGACCCCAGCTGGCACTGGGTGGCATTTGTTCTTCACTTGCTCTGCTTGGAGCATATGCTGCTCATGGAGCTGAAAGGAGCATAGCAAGAAGGGTGTTCCCCGCCCTCCCGAGCCCCAGCTACTGGGCCGAGGGCCGTGTGCTGGCCGGCTGGCTGGGCTGGGGCGGCCTGGCCTCCTCGTCCCCTATGCCGCAGCCACTCCCACATCTCCAGGAAGATTGTTTCAGAAAATGCCTAGGACACAGCAGGGAGTGGAGCAAACAGGGTCCCAACCCGTGTCGTTGCTGCGATGGTGACCATTTCTGCATGTGCCAGGAGGGGAGAGAGCAAATAGTTAAAAATCACCGATGCGTTAAGGGCGTGGGATGGCGCCTGACCTCTTCCTCTTTTTGTGATTTGTGTTGTTTGTGCAATAAAAACAGGAGGAAGTGGGGACAGTTGTTTGGTCAGATGAAGGAGCTTTCTTCATCCTTACCAACTTGTGCCCTCACTTGTTCCAGAATGAGGGGCCATGTCAAGGAGGGGAACAGGGCATGGGGGGCACCTGGCATTCGTATGCTTTCCAGGGGGCCTGCACGTATCATCTCTTTTCAGCTTCACAGAAATTCCACGAGGTGGGAATTGTCCTTATTTTACAGATGAGGAACTTGAGGCTAGGAGAGGTCACACAGCTAGTATAAGAGTGAAGCAGGGGGCTGGGGGCCGGGCGCGGTGGTTCATGCCTGTAGTCCCAGCACTTTGGGAGGCGGAGGTGGGCGGATCACAAGGTCAGGAGTTCAAGACCAGCCTGACCAACATGGTGAAACCCTGTCTCTACTAAAAATACAAAATTAGCCGGGCATGGTGGCATGCGCCTATAATCCCAGCTACTCAGGAGGCTGAAGCAAGAGAATCGCTTGAACTCGGGAGGCAGAGGTTGCCGTGAGCCGAGATCGTACCGCTGCAATCCAGCCTGGGTGACAGAGCAAGATTCTGTCTCAAAAAAGAAAAAAAAGAAAGAAAGAAAAGGACGGAGCCAGGGAATCAGACCCTGCCTCGGGCCTGAGAGTGGTGGAGGGAGCCTGGGCCCCGGGACTCACTGTGTACACGGATTCTGCAGGAGCCTCCTTGGGGCTGCTGGCAGATCTTGGAGCTGGGCGCTTCCTGGCGGGGTCCTTCCGTGGAGCCTGCATCTGCCTCTGTAGGGAGAAAGGAGTTAGGGCCAGGGATGAGTGGCTCGCATGCAGACCCCACCAGGGGAAAGGATGGCAGATTGTCATAAGGCCATGCAGAGATTCCTCGCTCCATCCCTCCCACTCACCCTCTCCAGTGAAACATGGCAAACGCCTCCAACACCTGCATCAAGCCACTCAAGCACCTGGAGACACAGGAAATAGAAAAGGCCCACACGATGTGTGGTCCCTGGACGGAGTACCTGGCTTGTAGGGACGCAAGCTGCTGGGCCCGGTGTCAGTGGGGCAGGGCCCCACCGACCAAGCTGGCTGTCGTGGGTGGGCCTCTAGTGGCGCCGGCCAGGCCTGGTGTCCAGTCCTGCCCTGCTGTCACTGGCTCTGGCCTCGAGCAAGCCTGTTCCCCTCTCTGGGCCTGGGTTTCTTTTTCGTTTTTTTTGAGAAGGAATTTCGCTCTTGTTGCCCAGGCTGGAGTGCAGTGGTGAAATCTTGGCTCACTGCAACCTCCACCTGCTAGGTTCAAGCGATTTTCCTGACTCAGCTTCCTGAGTAGCTGGGACTGCAGGTGCGTAACACCATGGCCGGCTAATTTTGTATTTTTTAGTAGAGACAGGGTTTCATGATGTTGGCCAGGCTGGTCTTGAACTCCTGACCTCAGGTGATCCGCCCGCCTTGGCCTCCTAAAGTGCTGGGATTACAGGCGTGAGCCACCATGCCTGGCGGCGGGTCTTGGTCTCTTCAGCAATAACCATCCTTTGTGAGATTGTTGCAAAGACTCAAGGAGAGCACAGGGAGCAGGTGCCTGGTGCTAAGGAGGTGGCGCTTAGGGGGTCCTCAGTCAACCAGCACACAGTGTGAGGAAGTGGGCACCGTCCCTAGCCTCCTGAAGTTTAGGGGCCAGTGAAGAGATAGAGGATGAACCAGCAGTTTTGCCAAAACATGGTATGTGGGCTGATCGCGGTCACGGAGCCTCTGGCACACAAGGAGGAAACCAATGCCCCACTGGGCAGAAGCAATATTGAAGGTGAAATCCTGAGGGCAAGTTCATTTAGCAAGAGATGGAGGAGGGAGCCCCAGGTAGAGGGAGTAGCATGTGCCAAGGCCTGGTGGTCCTGAGGCTCTTAGAGAAGGTCAGCGTAGGCCGGGCACGGTGGCTCACGCCCGTAATCCCAGCACTTTGGGAGGCTGAGGTGGGCAGATCATGAGGTCGGAAGTTCAAGACCAGCCTGGCCAACATGGCAAAACCCCCTCTCTACTAAAAATACAAAAATCAGCCAGGCGTGGTGGTGGGTACCTGTAATCCCAGCTACTTGGGAGGCTGAGGCAGGAGAATCACTTGAACCGGGAGGTGGAGGTTGCAGTGAGCCGAGATCACACCACTGCACTCCAGCCTGGTGATGAAACAAGACCCCATCTCAAAAAAAAAGAGAGAGAGAAGGTCAGTGTGGCCAGAGAGGGGAGCCTGCCCGGGAGGGGCCGGAGTGGCCGTGCAGGCTGCGTGAAGAGTGTAGGAAATAACTAAGGGCTGGAAGTGGGAGCCAGGTCAGAGCTGCGCTGGAGAAAGCACCCGCTGGCTGCTGCCTGGAGCGCTAATGGTCATGGTGGAGGCTGGGCTGGGCCCGCTGGGAAGGTGAAGCCTGGGCAGGTCAGGAGGCGGTGCAGGCGGCCCTCCGGAGGCAGAGGGTGGTGGCCTGGACGTCCCTGCTCATTGCAGGCACCACACTGTCACTGCTGACAGTGGAGCCACAACTGCCTCATCTAAGGGCAGGAGCTAATTAAAAACCCTGGCCTCCTGCCAAACCCCAGCCCATTTACTGCAGGATTAGCTGTTGAGAGCGACTTAACTCTCAGGCAGAAGCCGGCGCCATCCCCAGTCACAGCACATAATGGCTCAGAGGATGGAGCCAGGTAGGGCTCTGAACACCTGACCTGCCTTCTCTCATGGGCCTCTCCACAAACCTGCAGGCGAGTCTTCCCATCATCTGGTTCTGTCCCTGAGGGAGAGGAGGCTCAGAGAGGGCAGGTGACTTGTCGAGGCCACGAAGCTAGGAAGTGGCAGAGGCAAGATTTGAATCCAGGTCTGTGTTTCACCAAGATACTGACGAGACGGGAGCTGGAGTGTTCACTCCCCTGCCTTATTAGAACACGTAAGCCTCACAGACTCAGAGAAGTGCTGGCATTTGCGGAGCACTTGATAGTTTACAAAGTCTGCTGGGACTTGTCCTTATTTCCATTTAATTCTCAAACCAGCCTGAGGAGGTGGGCATGGAATTGCTCATTTAACAGAGAGGGGGCCAGGTACTGTGGCTCACACCTGTAATCCTAGCACTTTGAGAGGCCGAGGCAGGTGAATCACTTGAGGTCAGGAGTTCAAGACCAGCCTGGCGAACATAGCAAAACCTCATCTCTACTAAAATTACAAAATTTAGCTGGGTATGGTGGCTGGCGTCTGTAATCCCAGCTACTCAGGAGGCTTAGACAGGAGAATCGCTTGAACCCGGGAGGCGGAGGTTGCAGTGAGCCGAGATTGCGACATTGCACTCCAGCCTGGGCAAAAGGAGTGAGACTCTCAGAAACAAAACAAAACAGAACAAAACAAAAGAAAACAGAGGGGGGAAACTGAGGCTTGTTCATCTGGTAAAGAGCTGTCCTTGGATCAAACCCAGATGTGTGTCCTCAAACCCAGGGTCCCCTCCACTGCACCACCTGCTAATTGAGGACATTGTCATAGTCAGAGGCTGTGCTCCACTCCAGGGCACCTTGGTGCCTCCTCTTGTCAGGCAGCTGGGGACCTAGTGTCTGTGTCCTCCCTGAGCTGGCCAGCTTGGACACTGCCAGGGCTGAGGTTGTGAGCTCACGGGCAGTGGCTCTCCTGCGAGGCTGACCTGGGCTCAGCTCTTTGGCCCTGCTGGGGCTGGAAAGTACGGTCCCTGGAGCTCAGCTGTGTCCCTCCCTGGTCCTGGGCCTGGGCTAGGCATGGAGAACCCTGTGGTGAGAGAGACCCAGGCCTGGCCTCGAGGCTCTGTCAGTGAGACTTCTGGGGCTGCCAGAGAGGTGAGTGCCGCTGTAGGGCCCCAGGAAGGGGCCCCAGGTCTGCAGGGGACTGCCGCAGACGTCTCAGGGCCATCTTGCAGTCTTCTGAAAACACAGGAGGAATTTCTAAGCTCTCCCAGTCTGAGAAGGTGTCTGAGGCATGGCAAACAGCTTAGGGGCAGGAGTGTCACGATGTGTCAGGAATGCACAGAGGGACGGAGAGTCAGACGGAAAGGAGGTGAGCCGCAGGCCAGCGCAGATGGGGCCACGGGAGGCCAAATGCCACGGCGTCTACCCGGAGGGCAGTGGGGGCCACCAGGGCAGGGAAGTGGCTGCAGTTGCATTGTATAAGCCTCCCTCTGCTGCCACAGATGTGGGGAAGACTGTAGGTTGGGGCTGGCAAGGGGAGGAGGCAGGATCTCCGGAAAAGAGGCCTCCTGGGGAGGCTGGGGAGGCTGGGCCGGGGCAAGGGGTCCCGTGGAACAGGGAGGGAACCTTCTTGAAAACTCAGATGGGCGCCGTTGCACTATGGGGGCAGGGCTGCTCTGCTCCCTGCCCACCCCTGCCCACCCCTGCCCATCTTGCCCACCGAGTGCTCTGTCCTTGGGACCAGCATTTGCCCTTTCAACTGTGGTTTTCAGATGAATCACTAATGTGGCTTCTCCCACCGCACCCAGCTCTCTGTGGCCCAAGTCTCCCTCCCTAGTAGACAGTGGTGGGGCAGGGAGTTACCAGGCGTGGGCTGAGATCCAGCTCTGCACACCAGGGCTGCTGCCATCAGCAGCTCAGGAAGCCTGTCGGGCCTCAGTTTCCTCCTCTGTAAAATGGGAGCGATAATGTGGCCTTGCCTACCTCACACTCTGGCCACTTCTGGCTTATCTTCCAGGTCCTCATGTGCATTTATCCTGTCATTGCTTCCACAAGCACGCACTGCATGCCAGGCTCCCCAGCTACTGGAGACACTCAGTTCCTACCCCGCCCCCGCCGCTGGCAAGGGCTATGCTTTGGCTGGACAGACAGCATAGAGACGAGCCAGGGGCCAGGCATGGTGGTTCATGCCTGTAATCCCAGCACTTTGGGAAGCTGAGGTGGGCAGATTACCAGGTCAGGAGTTCGAGACTAGCCTGACCAATATGATGAAACCTCATCTCTCCTAAAAAAATACAAAAATCAGCCGGGCATGGTGGCATACACCTGTAATCCTAGCTATGGCTTGAACCCAGGAGGCAGAGGTTGCAGTGAGCTGAGATTTTGCCACTGCACTCCAGCTTGGGCAACAGAGCAAGACTCTGTTGCAAAAAAAAAAAAAAAAAAAGATGGCAGCAGACACCCTTATTCCGGGAGACACTGATGGAACCCTGAGCCCTGGACGCCCAGGAAGCCCCGGGGAAGGGACTGGATCCTGGGCAGCCTGAGTGCAGGGCTCGCTGAGGGGTGGGTGGGAGAGCAGAGTGAACACAACTCCAAGGCTCCGGCCTGAGCATCGGGAGCCCATTTGCTGGGACGTAGAGGGCTTGGGGACGAGGAGCAGTGCTCTGGATGCATGAGGTGGCGGTGCCCTCAGGCCCCATACGGGGCTGTGGAGCATGGGCTGGAGCTTGGGGAGGGGTCTGAGCCTCAGATTCTGTGGACCGGGAATGGACCTGCAGAGCAGAGCCTTCGCCGCAGGAGCACAGGCAGAGAACAGAAGGGCTCGGAGGAAGGGCCCCGGCTGCACCAGAGGCCAGACGTCACCAAGATGAGGGTGACCTAGCAAATCTGCCTGTGGGGTGGGGCAAAACCAGGAGGCCAGGGGGTCCTGGAACCAAGAGGAAGAGTGTGCTGTGAGGCGGGAGGCCTGCTGCATCCAATGCCGTGAGAGGAGGAGGGTCAGCTGCAGGGAGCGCCTGCTCTGGGAAGACCAGTTTGACCCCTCAGGCCAGCCGGGAGCCCCCCAACCTGCTCCGATGGTGGGAATCATGGCGATCACTGCCCTC